TCAAATTACGCTGAAAACCCATGACAGAGCTCAACATTCATTTACATTCTTGAACCTGATTTAATGCCTTACCTACAAGACTCTTTGTCTTTAATTGTGCCAATTTACTTTATAATTCACCTCATTTACAGAGATTATTAAAATTGACAACTGAAAGTAAGTCTGACACAGTTTAAAGCAAGAAATAGGAGAACAAGGAATGCAGTCTTGCATCCAGCACAGATTTCCATAGTCTAACTTCTGCCTAAATTCCCCAGCCTGGAGTTTTTGCTTGAGTAGGTACAGGTGGCATCCTACAGCCAGCCACAAAAGACTAGATAGCACTTAGGGGGCTGAGCTTGGCACAAACGAGCTCAAAAATAATGTTCCCACAGCTAAATGCTGGTATATTAAGATTGGTTGTCTTCATTTAGACAACCTCTCTTACAAGAATGAATGATCTTGAACAGAAGTATCTTAGTTATGAGAAAATTACTAATGGCACAGGTGAGACAGAAGCACAGTGATGTTTATGAGAACACTAGCCCTATATATTTAGAATTGACATCTTTAGTTTATGTGAATACAACAATTGCATCAGCAGTCTCAAACTGAGATGTGATCAAGCTTTTTCCAGTTCCTTTACTTTCTGGAAAGGCTATGGAGCTATGTGAACCTGCAGCATGACCCAGTACTGAAATTTGTGCATGGACATCAGGTTTGTGAGACAAACTCTGCAGTTCATACCTAATTTTGCCATGAAATGCATGGAAAAGAGCTGGCTGCTTCAAACAGGATTCTCAGCAGCCATCTGGACCACAGTGTTATTGAAATTAACTGATAGGAAAAGCTGGGATGAAGGGTGTTTAATAAAAACCCTGACTGCTCATGCTAAGACCACTAAGGCCCCAGGGAAACATCAATGTCAGATGAGGATTCATAGCCCATGTGCTTCACCACCTCTGCCATTCCTCTCCATGCTGCAACAGGTACCGCTTTTGTCTGTCACAGGACAGGAAGAGGAGCAACTGGGCAATAAGGCAGGAGTTGGGATGCTAGTCCAGGAAGAAAGGAAGGTCCCGATTCTTCCCTAACCTTCCACATATCTTGTCTCCCAGCACCGTGCTCCAGCCACCCAGCAGCAGATGATTTTCTGTCCGTCACAGTCCTGCAGGCATTCATAGGAGCACAAGGTCAAGTGCCCACCTTGTGCTGTTTGAGATGTCCCAGGGTATCTGGCTCAGCCTCTAGCTGTCCCTCCAAATTGCATGTCTCCCATAGGACCTGTCATCCCCTAGGACATCTGCCAGCCTTGTGCAGATATTTTAGCTACCCACTATTGTTTCAAGTGGTATTAGAGACCTTGGTGCAGGCAACTGAGCTGATCCCTCCTATCATCAATACCAGACACTGTAAAATCAGACATAGGATTTGAGGCCTGCACATTGCCTATGTACCTATTTTGTCCTTAAAAACCTCTTTAGGATACCCCCTTCCAGAGAACAAGACCTGTTGACTGCTACATCTCACACTGACAAGGCAGGGTGGGTGCCCAGAATTGCTGCTGGACTTTCCCTTTCTCTGCTATATGTTGTCACTCTGCTAATGAAAGTAACTCGGAAAGCACTTTCTACTTGTTGAAACATATCACATTTAGGAGTCACAGACTGGTATGGCCATGAATCTCATATCACTGCTTCATTTTTTTCCCTATTCAGATTGTAAAAAGTTTCCCATCACATTACTTTGCTATATATCCTTCAAGTGAATGCTTGGTACATATTTAGATCCTTATGGGTAGCACTCAGCATAAGATCATTTTTTCTCTAGCAATCCACCAGAGAGATTGAATAAATTTCGTAAAGAATACATTTCTGGACATTAGCTAAGCACATATAGCAAATGGATCTCAACAGTTTCTTACTAACTATTGATGGACCCTACCTGTGATTAGAGCTTTCCTGAGGCCGCATTTGCTATTTAGGATTTTTACAGGGATTTGTCCATACTTTAGAGCCTGCAGCTTGTTTTGAACTTTCTGAGCAAGGTGAGCATTTTGAGCCAGGCCCATCTAGTCAAATAATATGTTCCACAGCTATGTACCTTCTAATGGTCTCAAAAATTATATTGTCTTCTGCAGAATACATGGCTGAGATTTTCATCAAAAATAAAGCACCCAATACGTTAAGCATATTTCCTTTATTACCAACCAACTTATTCGTACTGACATCTTTATTCATCAGAAGCTGCTGCAAATAGCTTGGACAAATAGGAGGTGGTTTTCTTGGATCATTTATTTTTGAATATTTGACATTTGTTATTTACACTGGGTGATTCTTACCTTAGATCAATACACAGACATTTCTACTCCTTGATTAGATGACAAAATTTAACGAGAGAAAAAGGTACAAATAGATAATAGAGAACAACTGTTCACATTAATATTGCATTACACATGTTACTTACCCCCAAACCCACACATTAATAAATCCAACGTCATTGACAAACCACAAAGAGTATAAAAAGAGGCACCCGGTCATTGTCAAATGCAAGCTGAATACAACGAAATTTCTGCCAAGTCCTTACCTTGCAGCATTCAGGCAGTTCCAGCCTTGCTGTCATGGTGTCTCTGAAAAACAAAAAAACAGGGTTATTTGTATACACGACTGAGGCATTTTATAAGCCACAGTGACACAAAATGCTGAGTAAGAGTCTCTTTTTTCTTACCCCTTTTCCTTTCACCTAAAAATCACACTCGTCTAGTATATCTCTGCAGAAACTTTACTTAACGTTTTCCTTAAGTACCTTCTTGAATAACGGCCAAAGATCATAAAATTAAGAACTTAGAAGTACAGAAATCAAATTAATAAGCTAGTGTGCCTGGGGGAGTATAGAAGAAACCACCATAACATAGTATCAACAATAATACTCATATATGTATGTAAGAACACAGAGGGGGGTGTGTGCACAAGTGTTTGTGTGTGTTTGTGCTTATATTTATAACCCTTCTTGTAAAGGTGTATTACACAACATATGTTAGTAAAGCATCTGCGAAAATTATTTCAAGAAGAAGACATGACAGAGACTATACAGAACATTTTAATATTCATAGTGGTCAGCAGTAATTTCATGCCTCAGTTATACCCTCTCTCCAGTAACGTGCCTCTAATGGTGATGGTCTGTGGGACTGACGACCTAGGGTCACACTTGCTGGTACAAAGGCACCAGACAAAGGGACCTTCACACACCTGTGAAGCCAGTTAAAAGCCTCTACGGGGCAAATCATTTGATTTTTCTTTGATGAGTGCTGCATTGCCTTTTTTGGGGGGGGTAAGTTCATTCCTTAGTTGAAGTCCAGCTCAGCAAAGCAAACCCCAGCTTCACAAAGTCTAACTCAACCGTTCAGTTGTATTAAGCTGAACCCCAGCTTCACCAAACTTATTCATGCACTTCCAGAAATTAATTTTACAGCCTAATGGGTAGTCAGATCTTCAGACAGTCTTGACATAGGGTGTTTGCCTTCTGTTTTTTAGAACCTATTGATCCAATTGGCTCCACTTACATCACATTTTTAAATTATTCCTACAACCACACGACTTAGCAATTCATTTTACTTTTGTTGGTGAAAAGAGGGGGTCTTGCATAGACACTTTGCTCCAAGGATCAAGGATCAGTATGTCTTTAAGAAAGACATACTTGATGAAAGCACAAGGGTTAGCTTGTGGTTAACTTCTGTTAACGATACAAAATAAGCATGAGCCATAAATCTGGTGAAAATTGTATCACGGAACAGAAAATTTGCCAAAATGCTTTTCTAAGGAGTCAGAATATTTGCTGAATCAAATCAATTATTACAGACAGTTTTAGCCAAAAAAAAAAAAGAAGAGTAAAAATATCAAAAATGCCAAAATACTTTTCAACATTTTTTAATGTAACATCTTATTTCTGAAACATCAACAACTTGTATCCTCATCTTCCAAATAAAACACTACAATTTTTACTTGAAAAGATAATTTTGATTACAAATTGAACTCCCTTTCAGATAGGAAGGATTAGAAAGTGTTAAACAACTTGATAATTAAACACACTGAGTTGTCTCAAGCAAGCTGGTCTTGGCATTGTGTTTTGTTTGTGGTTTTTGTGGGTTTTTTTAATCAAAATCTTCAAATCCATTGTAACTACTTGAGACAAAACCCGTAGCTTCTTAGCTGTGTGGAGGTAGCTTAGTAGTTCGAGATGATTAGGATGACTTGTCTTCCTAAATTTGACTGCCAGTTTTGACAACGTTTTCTCAATGACCTTGAGTACATCACTCAACTCCCCATGCTTCAGTTTCCTCACCCATCTACTTGGCTTTTACTAGGATTGTGATGAAATCATCTTGTGTCAAGAATATTAATTTACCAGTATGGATTGTCATTTACTTATCAGTTCATCTGTGACAGGGCTGTCCTGTAATGTCATTGTCACCTTATTAACTGGGAAAGGAGAGATTTAGGTGTATTTTTATCCCACCATGGATTATAGGAGTTTGGTTGTTGTGGTTATTTCCATTCCTCCAAGTAATCAAGTGATTTTTTTAGCGTGTTTGTATGCATTTCTAAACTGTCCCAGCTCACGGTTGCCCCTCAGTAGCATTTCCTTCAAAAATAATGGTGTTGAAGTGCAGAAAATCATAAAAATAAATGTCTATGTACCCACGGTGCAGCTCATGATTTCTTTTCCAACTGAGTTAGGTTTCTTGTGTGACCTGCACATGTTGATGCATTTTGCTCTCTGTACAAGGAAATTCAATGAGTTTCCACAGCCAACCTTTCAGCCGCTGGCACGGGTCGTTATCGGCAGCACGAAGCGACTTGCACAGAAGCAGATTATTTCTGTATTTGTGCCCGGCTTGTGCTGGGGGACCTCTTCCAAGCTTTGCGGCATCAGTGACCGGGACGAAGCCACCAGCATGGCATTAGCTAGCAGCAAGTCTCCACGTCTCCGTGCTGTTTCTCGCCCGCTAGGTGGCACCGGGTGCTTCGGGCGGTGTAAAGGGGATGGGGCAGCCCGGGGGGGGGCGGCCGGATCCGGCTGCGGAGCCCTGGGTTCACCAGCAAGCCGGGGGAGAAGACACTGGGCACCTACCGCTTCCCACAGGCTTCATCTTGTTAATTTAAAAAAATAAATAAATAAATAAAATAAAAAAATCTTGGATGGAAACGAAGGAAAACGCCACTGCCATCTCAAGGACGGACGCTGGCACTCGCAGTAAGTTACGTGCCCAGTTTACTACCCAACCACTTTTATCAGGAAACCATCTTCTGAAAATAGAGAAGCTCAGCATGTATCCTACAGCCTCTCTTAGAGTGCAAGTGATCACTGTAACACATCAAAAGCATGAGGGGGTAAATCTGCCGGTGTGAATTCAGTTCAGCTACAGCCTTGCGTGCGAGGAGAGGGTGTGACTGCGTGCACAAGGACACACACTCAAGGGAAAGACCACAGAAAATTTGGATCACCTGGGGGGATCTGCCTTCTGTCCCTGGGGAGCAGAGTGGCTGTTAGAGACAGCAATTTAAGAGGTGGTTTCATAGCTCAAGGACCATCTATTCCAGATTTCCAGTTTGTGACAGTAAGCAAATAAGGGAAAAAAACTTTTAGGCAGAGGTACATATATATCTCGGGGCATGCTATTTGTTAAATAATTTAAATAATAAATGTGACTGAGGGTAATGGTGTACATAACTTCATTTTTTTAATTCAAATGTAGCAATGACACCTCACAAACTTAAACAGGACCCCAGCATGGGCTTATCTGCTTAGCTGAACAAGAATGGCTTTCTTTACCCATACAAAAACAAGTGAACGTTTTGCTCCTTGATTTTTTCCTGGAAAAAGAGGTCAGAAGAAGCACAAATTTCCTTTTCAGTCCTAATCTATATTTCTATTTTATTAATTTTTCTATTAAAACTAGTTCCAGATTTTTCTGCTCCTTGCTGATACATTCAGAGCATATCTCCTATCATCCTATCTTCTTACAGAAACCAAATTTACTTAACTCTGTAAACACGTAATTCCATAAAAGATGTTTAACATGAAAACCCATAAGTCTGACTAGCAGTTGTTGCTTTTGTTAATACCTCATTAAATGTAGGAACCTGTTTCTGGAAGAGGAAATGTGCTCAGGTTCCCAAACTAGTAATATGTATGTCTAGCAGGGAACTGAATTTTTTGATAAGGGTTTGTAAGGCTATACCCTTGGCAATAGTCATAGAAGCTTAGTTTTAAAGCTGTGAATTTTGTTCCTGATGAAATCTACAGTAAAATCACAGTTGAATTCTCTGCTAAACATTCAGAACCTTTCACTGCATGTCACCATGGCCAACTTTTTCTTCAAATACTTAAAGTGTGCTTATAACCTCCCATGAGGCTATCTGGGAGGTTTTCTGAGGCTATCACAGAAGACTGAGATTTAGTTTACACACTGCAGCTCTTTTTGTACCCCTGCTGCTGCCCATGGGGTATTTGCAGCTTTAAAGTTTGTCACTGCTAGATGCCACTAGGTCTGTGCATGTGCTTGCTGGGTTCTGGCTGTTACTATGACACACAGGTGGTTTTTTAACATAAAAAGTCCTTGATTTTAGATAGATTAGAGGAAAGCATTTTGATCAAAAGACAGAGTTCTGTATTGTACTTTCAAAGAAGTAGGTACAAACAGAGCTTGCTAATTTGAAATGTGAAGTAGCCCTGATCTTCATCTGCTCTGTTTCTTATGAAGGGACATCTCTCAGAAGCAAATCTTCCATTGTTGGTTATGGTCTATGGCAGGCCAAATCCCAAAGAAATCAATGGAAGCTCATCTTCGTTGACTCTAAGGCTTGTCCCCCATGGACTTGACGAGGTGGATGCTTGAACTGTTGGAGATGTCTGAGGAAACACATACACAGCTGCTGCTGCTGCAGGATGTCAAAAGCAAGACGTGTCAACACCCAGGCTGCCACCATTGTACAACACACGACCCAACAGAGAGGATTCTAAACCAAAGGAAATTTTCCTTCGTGTGTTTTTTTTTGCCTCAGGCTGACTTAAAGAATATTTTATCATAGCACATGCGTCTTCAAAAAAAAAAAAAAAAAGGTCATTATCAGAGCACTATCCCGCAAGAAAAAGATGAGGAAAAAGAAAGGCACCAGAAAGTTTCTTTTCTTTAGATATTCTGTGTTCCTCAGCACCAACATTTTCATTTTCTTGTTGGCCTTGAGGACACATTGCTACTGGCTGCTTAGCTAAACCAAGCAAGAAAGACCAGCAGGTACGTGAAATGCCATCACATCTTTTCCTTTACACCAAGCTGAATACCGCTCTCTGCTATTAACGTAGGGTCTGATCGTACTCTCACCAAAGTTAGAAGCAAATTTCCCATTGACTTTAATAGGGCAACACATGCTTTTTACAAAACAGACAGGGCACTTTTTTATTTCCTACTAAATATGAAAAAGAAAAATCTGAGTACCAAAGTCTTTGATCAAACAGAAAACAAACACATCTTACAGGTTTTTTAATAACTTTTTTCCCAATAAAAAGAGTAAAGTTGGCCTGAAATTATTATACCTGTTTGAACAGAAAGCATATTTTCTTTCTAGCTAGGCATTATATCATTCAATCTATGAAAACAGAGATGTAATATAAAGTAATAAAGAGGAAATACAACATAAAGTAAGATTCAGACATATTAAATTGCTTAATGAAAACACAAGAGAGAGAAAATAGAAAATATGTTTTCCTTTATTGAGAAAAATCCCTTTTCAAATGCTTAATCAATAATAAAGTTCATATTTCCTGACTTGAAATATTTTTTACATTTTTTTTTTTAGAAAATTATTAAATATCTTTAATGAATATAGATTGCCATTTTTCTGCAGCATGGCCTGGCAGCATCCCGAATAGATTGTTCTCTGCCTAATCTGTTTCCCTTCTGCAATTGACTGATCCGAGCAGCGCACTTCATAATTTCATTTCAGATAATTCTTGTCACTGAATGCTATCCAGTAAATGTGAATACACATTTGCAAATGCACCTTGGGAAAAGGGAAATCCTGCAGGATCATGCTGCTGGTAATTTGAAGATGAGTCAAATTAACAGGCAACATTTGTTACCACTTAACTTTTCTATGCTCTTGAGCTACAGAGCAGATTGAGGCTATGTGAGCATTGCAGTCAAACCACTGTTATTCCAGTTTCCATATTCTCTGACCCTAGTTTGCTGTCCGTGGGTTATTAAATATGCAGAGTCTACTCTATGGAAGAATGTAAGGCCTCCATTAGAGTGTGAAACCTTACATCCACCTACTCCAGCATCTTCTGCCTGAATATCTACAGCTTGCTTCTGAACCATCTTGCTCCAAAGGGTGGAACATCAAAATTATCACTTAAAATAGCTGTCACTTCTGGAAAGACGTGAAGCATTCGTCTTCTCTCAGGGCTCAGTGGGAGCTTTACATTTCCTGCTCAGCATGGCCACCTTTCTCCCAGTATGGGACTGCAAGCACTCGGTAAGACCCTGCATGCAGTTCCCAAGGGGTGGAAAGACACGGTATGCCTGTAAGACGATGCCAACCTGGCAATCTTGAAGGACACAGATTCTGTGGCACAAAGACTTAGAGAAGTCATGAAGAGGAAGTAGGAAATTCCCAGTGCCTGGGGAAGCTGAGAGGAAGGAGGCGCAAGGTGTCTACAGTGACAGTGTGGGGAAAGATGTATGGTCTGGGGGATCCTAAGATAGGCAGCAGTCCAGTGTGCTGGGAGATGAGAAGTACCAGCAGGAGCATCCTCTGGGAAAGGCAGGGTGGGGACAGGAGTAGAAAGGGACAGGCGGCTTTCAGCCATATGAAAACATTGAAAAGTTTGATCTCTCCTGGACTAGACCGTTTCTTCTTTATTTGTACCACAACCTGACATCAAGACAATTCAGAACCTATGCATATGTGAGTAATGCTGTTCTGGGCAGCAGGGTATCCGAATTATGTGTCCAGGGCTGGCAGACAACAGAGAACCTGTGCAAGATGAAGGTCCTTCTGGAGTGGCACTCAATTGCCAGCTGGTAGGCCTCTGGGCTCTCAGTGTAGCTGCTATGGTTAGGATACACTTATTTTTTGGCAAATGGTCACAAATAAGAAAAATATATATATATTCTATGGGGAAATGGGTTCTACAGGGGCTGTGATCTGCAAATAACCAGATCTCCACACTTCATCACTGCAGTCCACTGTTCACAGAATCACAGAATCATCACAGAATTTCTAGGTCGGAAGAGACCTCAAGATCATCGAGTCCAACCTCTGACCTAACACTAACAGTCCCCACTAAACCATATCCCTAAGCTGTTCATATGAGCCCACCAGTTTCCTTCCCTAAGCAATAATCCCAGAAGATCAAATTGGCTACAGTTCCTCAGACTGCACATCATAAATGAGGGGTGGGAAAACACAATGCACAGTGTGCTCAGTTTAAGCTGCACCCTTGGCCAAGGCCTGGGCAGGCCAAGGTGGACTGCAGCCCCTCACATTCTGCACGTGCCACTGGGTATAGGGGACGAGCAGCTCCTGGGCAACTTTCTGGAGATGCTTCAGCTGGGCTGGGCTGAGGGAAGCTAGAGAAGGGCCAGGCAAGCACTGGGGAAGAAAGAGGTAAGGTGACAGGCTAGGGAGAGCAGTTACCCTCACAAAACTGTTAAGGCACCTTGCACATCAACCTTCCTGAATATTACAGTGTATTGAAGTAATCTTATTTACATATCCGAGTTAAATTTGGCTAGTTTCTAAGGAGTATCGCTATAGGCAGTACGCACAAATCACCTGGAACATCATCTCCTTCCATTGTAAACCTCTAATGATGGCTTATAAACAGAAACACGGTCAAGCTAGAAATAAGCTGTCACACAAAATGCTGACATCTCCAAATAACAAGTGTATCCAAGAGGTGTTTTTTTTCTCATTAAAAATATTGCATTTATTTTTCACAGAGGAAGTAGAAGTCGTAAGAAAAATCAATATGAAGTGACCTAATCTTTCTCATTTTCATTTTTAATTCCCCCATCGTGGGGCTGGAATAGCTCCGTTCCCTGACACCGAGTGCCATGACAACCATCAGGCCCATCAGGTCTCTGCATAGCCACTCTGCTCATTACCTGGGGAAAAATGTACGTACCAAACGCTCAAGCTCTTTTTAAACCTATTAAATATAAATAACTAATATGATTTGACCTAGATAGCTGAGTGTAATGTACCATAACATCCAAATTAAAAAAAAAAAAAAAAAAAGCCTAAGTGTAAAAGCATTTATAAATGTTATGGAGACTAAGTAAAGTTGCTACAGTGAGCTCACCAGTTGTATTAATGTTTTAAGATAACTTCTCAAATGAAATGTGTTCAAAGTGAGAGAAATGTAAGTATTCAAAATTTCGGGTATCACTTTTATGCTGTAAGTGCAAATTTCTATGAACGGTGTATTTAAAGCACTGAGAATATACAAGTTTTTGTAAAGGAGATGCATCTCAAATCTGGATAATTAGTATCTCCAAAGAAAAACATATTTTAAGTTGCCCTTGAAGCTTTAATATTCACACTTTTCTGAAACCTAAAGTGCACAGGTAAAACACCATTTCTTTTAACAGTACTAGCCTATGGAACAATCTGTAGTTGCACACACATTCAACCATGAATAAGCAAGATAAAGATGTATGAATTTCTTATCACTAACCTTTACACAAACACCATTTATGAATAGGTGTATCCAACTCGACTGCCAGACTGGCTTTTCCCTTTCATCTTGCTGCTAATCGATACTTGCTAGAAATTTTATGCAATAGCAATGTCCAGTCCGCATTTTGCATTTTGATGCACCAACAGCAACATAGCCAGCTTCACTCCTTGTCCTTATAAATGATGCTGCCATTTTCACAGATAACCTACTTAAATGTCCTAACGTTTTCCCTGAGAAGCATCACCTTTCTGGCAGCTGGCCTTTGCAAGAGAACATTAGATTCTCATCTGAAAGAGAGATGTAAGACCAAGCCTCACTCTGCCAAGCTGGCTCAAGGCTTTCATTTAATTAGCACATCTTTAGCTTGGCCAAATTTAAATGAATGCGTTTCTTGGTAATACGGATAATAAAAAACGCCTAGCATTTGCACCCTGTGACCTAGATAAAGAAATCACTTTAAAGATGAAGGGTTTGGGGTTCTCTGACTGATTTCAACTTTATTCGGCTTAATTCTCCTATCCTCTGATCAGTATTATCCCTTTCTACTGCAACTTCCTCTTCAAGCATCTCTCCAGTCTTGTTCCCTCATATTACTAACTTCCCTAAGCCTTTATTTCACATTTGATTTTATTTTCTCCTTCTAAATGTCTCTCCAAGCACTTAACTGCTTTTCCAGTTTCCCAGATAACATCCAGAGATGCTCAAGCATTAATGGCTTTGCTTCCAGCTATTGATCAGCCATATAAATCTGTTCACACGCTGCAACTCGTCCTGAAAATTGGGTCCACCACCCCAAACTTCAGTACAAAACCTGTTTGAATTCCACTGATTTAAAACAGCATGCCACTAAAAACACAGTTGTCTATCCAAAACGACCACCTTCATGACCCCACTGTTTTGACCCATTTGAATCTGTCAGGAAGTCTAAAACAAATGAATTTCTTTTGTAGCTGGAAGACAAATAAAATTTGTTTGGGTGGAGGTTTCCCTGTAAACTAATTACGTTAGACTCACCACTGCCTTTCATCTTGTACCACACTCATTCATCTTTCTCTCAGAAACAGGAAGAGGAGGCTGCTTCTTCCTAGCCCTGCAGTCCCTGCCACGCCTGATTCAGACCATATGAGCTCCAGAGAAGATGCACAAGTTTGCTTGGAGCAGAATCAGGCCCACAGAAGCTGGCGAAATCACTTTTTCTCTGTGTGGAAAATGAGAGCAAACCACCCTCACAGAAGTGCAGCAGAAAGGACTGGAAGAAAATGTAACTCAGCTGCTCAAACATTTTGTTCTCTGTGGAATGGTTTATAACCTATTGAATTTTCATTCCTCTGCTACATGACAGTTGAAGTGGGAAAAAAAAAAAAAAAGAGAGAGATAAACATTTAACTAATATGTGAGAATACTTCTCAAGGTCACCCCAATTATTTATTATTAGGATTTTTTATTTTTTTAGGTTTGCAGCTGTTACAAGAGGATTCCTTTCACTGAAGTATCCCCTGACTGCAGTTTCCAACAGAAAATCTATTTACTGAAACTGAATATCAAGACTACCAGGTATGCACAGCTGCACTACAAAAATGTATGTTATCTGGTCATCTCCTGCATGCTACTCCTTTTTTATTAAAAGGTTTAAGTGTGGTTCACATGGATGTACAAGATTAGGAGGAAAAAATATGTAAAAATGGAAGCATCAAATTATCCCTACCAAAGATATGTCTGAAAAAGGGAACCAGAAAAATGAAGGCCCGTATATGACCCAGGGTTAATTGTACTCAACTACCTGTGAAATATATGCACATTTCTATGAGGAGAAACAGCAGCGTGAGGAGGAGTGTTCCCAGCAAATGAGGACGACGGGCTCAATGACGCAGACGCGCCATTAGCCACAGCCCTTGGAGACCCAAACTAAACAGATGCCTGCTCCTATCACAAGCAGCAGGTAAATAGGACAGAAAATGTAGAAGCCCGATGAGTAACAGGACTGTGGTCTGACATTTTACGAATAAGCAGGGGATAATAAGCAAAGGCAAACAAGGACAATGAGAGGAGTCAATTGTAGAAAAGTCAGCTACACCACACATGGAGGCAGCAGTACATTCCAAATCTGGGAATGCTGCATTTTGGGACCAACCGGAGACTATTTTTGCTGAGCCAGTGCCCATTAAGTGGGCTCTGAAGAGCTGTTTGTTCCCTCTGCAGGCTGTCGATTTGGCCAGAAGCATGGTGTTGGCAAGAGAAAAACTGGTGCATGGGGAGTGCAGGTAGCAGTCAAGACACCTCCATGCACACAGTGCTAAAGTTACAAACACAAGTTATGTGAATTTATTCAGTATGTCCCCCTTTCTTACATTGCTGTTGCACTGGCTTGTCCTAAGCCAGGGGTCACTCTGTGCTTCCCAGTGTCAGCCATCAGAGTTACACCAGCCTCTGAGTCCTGTTGGACGCTTGCTCCTTTACATCAAACACCGATTTTTCGGCTTCTCTGCCACTTACCTTCAGCAAAGCACTTAGCCTGCATGCAAGACCCTTCCCATGGGGTTCAAATGAGGAAAAAAGAAGACTTGATATGGTATTTGCTATGTGTAATGTATATGTGAGAAAGGAAAGTATAAATTTCTGCTACATTTAAGGATATAGACTTTGGCAGCTGGATTTTCCTTCTCCCTCTATCAGCCCAATGCCACTTTAAACATGTTATTTTCTGGCTGTCCTCATTTTCTGTGAACTATTCCTCTGTCATTTTCACTGTCACGGGAATCAATACCTAGTAATAGCATTACATAGGTGGGGGTGTTAGCCTCCCAATAACTTCTGGAACCACAGACGTGGTTTATTAATTTGTTATATATCTTTGACTGGTTCTTTTCCCCTTTGACCTCTTATCTATCTTTCAGGGCCTCATGCTAAGACTGCACAGTGCTGAACAGCTGTAATGCACATCTCTGTTTTCCTTAGATCAAGTGGTCAGGAAAAAGTACTCTTCCTTCCCCACAAATACAGAATCACTTTTGCTAAACATTATGCTAACTTGTGCAAGGAATGACAAAATTTCATCCCCAGTTTGTGAGACAAACGTGTATGTAACAACATCCCTGCTCAAAAGTTCAACAGCTAAAAACACCATGGCAATGAGAGCTCTGACACACTGGAAGACTCCTGGTTTCCAAGCAAATGTCAGCTCTTTCTCCCAGTCCTGAAAGAAGCCAGCAAAAATGCTGAGAACCTATTTAGAGTCACATTTAACATTTTTATTCTGGCCTACAGCACAATGCAGTTGGAAGGATGGGGGGGGAGGGGGCGCATATTATCTTCTTCTGTGACAAAACAGATGGACTGAGATCACAAAAATCAAAGATGTGTTATTTGAGTTTTGCATGGTATTATTTCACTAGGAACAGGTTTTGAAGTGGAAATTTAGAAGTATGGACGCACCTCTGTTTCTACCACAAATGTCAGTGCAAATGAAACCAGCTTATACCAAGAACACCTGCTATTCATAACAGCCTCTTGTATACAGTTTATTGACCTGTACCATGTACAGCATTTCTGTTTATCAAGACTGTTTACATGAAACTAATTAAAAACATCAAGATCATTGGTTCATAGTTGCTACCACACAGACAACAGAATGTCATTTAAAAGATGTGCTAAATAAAACACAGGTTCACTTTTCTCAGCTCTGGCTGCCTTTATTTGCCACAATGCAGACACATTTTCTAAATTTGCACTTACTCTAAAGGGTACAGGATCAGGCTGACTTGTCAGTATTGCAGAACAGGGAGAACGAATGCAATAAACTTCTAGGCTGCCAGCAGCTACAATAAACGACACAGAATGACAACAATCCTTCCACATAAATACTGATCTTATTTTTGCTGAACTCTAGACCTCTTGTTTCATGGTATTTTTATAGACTATAGTTCATATGCATTACATTAGGGGAAGCAGTTATGATGCGAGCATATTGTCACATTCCCTTGTACACTTATATTATGAAAAAGTGCAAAATTAAAGGAAAAATTCATTTCAGTAGACCAGTCAGTCAGCACTGCACTTCGGGAGAAAAATAACAGTGCAGACCTCTGTTTGTTTGCAGCATTCAAAAATCTTCCCTCTGCACAGTCATGGGTTTTATTTAGATCTTCAGAATAAGGTATATTCCACTGCAAGAAAAATAGATGCCATTTTTTACCACAAGAAAAGTCTTTTATGAATGCTTGTATAAGACAGTTTTATGTGCCTCTGACACACCATTTACTTGACTTACCATAAATGTATTGCTTCTTAAGCTATCTCAAAAAGAACAGCAAAAACCAGAGGCATGCTCAGTCAGACTAACAGTTACACATACGTTACTACCTCACGAGCAGCTAGAGGGCTGAAGTTTCTGCAAGAAGAAGAAATAACAAAAGTAATGGATTGAAATGGCTGGTTTTCTCTCTGCCTAGCCCACCCCAAATACCACAAAAAGTCTCTCACAATTTGGAAATTGCAATTTTATGGGAATGAAGAAAGTACCAAAGCATTACAAGGAGACTCAGAAACACATCTCTTCTTATACATGTATAATGAAAGAGTATATCATCATGTTATTATCATTTGAGAAACAGGTGCCTATCTGATGCATTGCTTTTGATAGCAAGGAGAGAGGTGATTCTTCCTGCATTGAATCACCTGATTCATGAATCACCATGAAACATGAACATGCACCTATTTATCTTAATTTACACATACGAATAAATATATTTGCATGTCTTCTCCTGGTTGTTCATACTGCAATTTATAAGCTTCACTGCAGAAACAGCAAATCCAACATTCCCAGTAAATATTTAGGAATTCTATAGTGCTGATGATGAAGCTTACCACTCCAAACATGACCTGCAGTCACTGCAGTGGCAGTACTGAAGACACTGTACATGCACAGCCTCTGATTTGTGCAGGTGTCAGAAGAAAAAAAAAAACATCTTTTCCCTTTCCTTTATTTTTTGCAGGTTCACATTGTTACCATTTCCCAAAAGGTAGGACTAGACACATAGCAGTTAGATGAGCTCCTAGGATGTAGGGAAAGAAAAAGGATCTTCTAGCTGCAGCAGCAGTAATGAGAGATTCTTTAGATTTTTCTTTCCTTAGACGAACGTTTTGGAAAAGCTGCTTGCAACTGAGGTCAAGGTTACATGAGAGGTTACTACAAGTCTGTCTTAGGAAGTGAGGATTCATAGAAAATGGAAAGAGTTTTCATATTTACTTTTGAAACAAAATTCACCTGGGATGCCTTCAGAGACTCTTGACAAGGACAAGCACTCCACTCCCTTCACAGAAGCACTTTCTCTTGTTTCTTCAGTGCAAAGAGTGGGTACCACATGCACAGATTCTTTACAGACACCTGACTTATCTGGAACAGATGAATCTGAAGCTTCTTTATTCATCCATGAAGGAATCATCTAAGGAGTTCAATATTCACAGTTATGTATTTTTAAGCAAAACACTTAAAATTATATCAGAAGCATACCAGCTGATGGGTGTTTTATGCCCTGTTCAGATAAAAGCTCATTCAACTAACTGTTTCAACCTCTGGGGACTGCAGAAAGAGAGGCATTAGTTAGTGAACTGTGCATAGTTACCACTGAGGAATTCCTGCACACGTTCTCTAGCAATATAATTTTCATCTTCTTTCTTCAGCAGACAGCAGCATGGTCACTAGAGAATATAAAAAGAGTTTCCCAAAACTTAGAAAAGAGTTTCTCTTTTCTACATCTTGCAGTAACTTGTCCATAGTGAGCCTTTGTAGTTGACTACGGACCCCCAAGTATGGATTTAATCTTAGTTTAGACTTAGTTTTTCACACTAGCAGTACTTTTTCTGTCCAGGGAGGACACTTAGAATCATGGAATCAGAGAACATGTTGGGTTGGAAGGGACTCACAAGATCATCAAGTCCAGCTCCTGCCTCACACAGGACCACCTAAAAATCATACCCTATGTCTTTGAGCTTTGTGCAAACACTTCTTGAACTCCAGCAGGCTCGGTGCTGTGACCACTGCCCTGGGGAGCCTGCTCCAGTGCTTGATCACCCTCTTGGTGAAGAACCTTACCCTAACATCCAAACTGACCCTCCACTGATGCAGCTTCACACTTCAGACACTTCAGAAGTCCTGCCCTGTACAGAATCATTTGGACTTCAGAAATCAAGAGTCTTCAGATACTGCTTAACTTTTAACTTTCACATTCTCCCATCAGGAATCTCCATCCCAGTCAGGCAAGGCTGTCAAGTCTATCATCATGCATTTGGTATATATCCTCCATGAGTTGAGTCTTCATTTATGTGGTAACCAGATGGTATGGTGTAAAGAAGAGTTTCTGCTTCTGAAGCAAAAAAGAAGAAAAGGGATGTTTCTTCTCTCCTAGTAAGACCCAGGTACCAAAAGAAATAATTATGAAAATTCTATGTCTACCAATCTAGTATCTTTTCTTAAAAAAAAAAAGACTATTATGTAATACACCCGTGTAATCCAATTACATGATTGAATTTATCTTTTCATATGTATTTATTTCTTCCCGATTACAAGGTTTTCGTTGCACACTGCACTTAATGCAGAGAATCCTCTTGGACAAATCTTGCTTGAGTAAAGGCTGGAGAATTTTACCAGTTTATAGCTGTATTTTAATAAGTCTATGATCCCACTGACAACAAAGTAAACAGGAAAAGCTCTGCTGCAGCCAGACTCTCTCTGGGCTTTTCAGCTGACTGCTTCTGTATGTAAAGCAATTAGTACATGTGTATATATTCATGCATGGGGGAGAACAAGTACAGATTTAACTATCAATATGCATACCACAGTATGCAATTTGTTGCTAATATAAAAAAAAAAAAGCTAATAAACAAGGCTCCGTGAGTCTACTTTTCGTTAGAAAAGTTCAGTGAACACAAGTGTTGGATTTTGCCTAATCTGCTCTCACCAAATAACTTCAACATAACTTATTCTATCCACTAGAATTCTTTCCTGTTCATCAATTTAAAATTGATCACTCATTTCTTGTTTACTGTTGCAATAATGGCTCTGCAACTGAAAATAAATGTTTTATGCTTATACATAAGAGGAACCCAGTCATATTCATGTTAAGATGCTTCCCTCATATTGTAGTTATAAAAACAGAGAAGGAAAGTGTTGAGGGGGGGGAGGGGGTTCATTCTGCAAATTTCTCTTAAATGGAAGAAACAGCCCCATGGCTACACAGTTCTAGCAATTTCTGCTTGTGTTTCTTCTAATTACATTTTCCTGAAGAAAACTGACTTCTACTACATCTGAATCTGTATTTGTCCTGCTACAGCAGCATCCTGGTTGTTGCAACATTAAGTTTCACTGAGTTCATCAAGGGTTCAACAACCCTTCAACAAGGGTTCAAGTTCAACGAGGGTTCAACAAGGGCTCAAGGTGTTCAACACCTCACTGAGATTTTGATCCAAAATAGCAGAAGTAACTGATGTACTCATTTTTGCTAGAGTACACTTTAAATCACAGTTCACTGTGCATAGCCTTCTTCCACCAGGTGGTCTGTTACACTTGACACCATTTCACATTTGGCTGTTTAGAAATTGTTTTGCTGACATGGGTAGGATCTTCCCTTATACCTGAGGTGAATGCTGCTGGCTAAGGTCATGCTTCCTTACACTCAGGAGGACTGCTCCAGCAATATAAATGGGAGCTGGAATGGATCCTTAGGTCACCATACCATGGCCCACAGAACAAACAGTGTTTAGAAGTCATTCAAGTTGAAAACTTCAAAGGAAAAAATAAAAAGATGCGTGTGCTGGCACAACCATGAAAAATTTGTCACCTACTCAAGGGAGCTCCCTCCAGGTTTCCATCTCCAAAACTGTATCGTCCACTCTTTATGGACTTTTCTAAATATCTCGGTAAAATGGCAGCAAATTTAAGACCAGCATTAGGAAGGGCAGTCCCCATACTGTTAAGCATTTGATGCTCATTTTCCATGAGTCTAGCAGGGGTTATAGAAGGGGACAGTGTCTTTTTTTCCATCATTCCCCTGGGGTGGTACAGACACAGAGGGAGAAGGTCAGAGTTGAAACTGCTCCAAGGAGCCTGGCTCATCCCCTGGGCTGCTGAACATGATACAAAGCAGTGCACTCTCCATTCACCAGCATGCAAGTCTTGCTGCAATTTGGCTCTAATGATGCCAGCCCAGGACCCCAAGGACAAGCAATTCCCCACGGCCATGTTGCTCTAACACTGTACTTTGTCTACTGCTCCGCTTGTGTAGTAGTTTCTCCACAGTAAAATACAATAGAGCTGTATGTACAAATACTTTAACCACTGGGAACTCCCAGCTCTTGAATGATTGATCTCATAATCCTAACACTGTGTGGAAAAGGGTTTTGATATTTAAGAAGTCTTCCCAGAAGTATTTAATTAAGTAGGTCAGTCTCTCACCTAGACAACACATTTCCTTGATGTTAACACAGAACAGTCATCAGGCTGCACTTCCAAGCCGTGTTTTACCATTAAAGTGATTTACCTAAATTAAGCTAAAAAAATCCGTACATGTCCACATGCCCTTTATTGTTTATCTACGGCAATCTACATCATTGGTTTGGCCTTACATGTCCAAGCTGGTACCTGGCCTCAACTCCTAAGCTAATTTCACCTGAGCTATGGATCTCCAGCATCTTACTAGAGACATGCAGGGCAAGTCACCCTCAGGTCTCTTGTATAACATTTGTTCTTCTTTGTTGCCTACATCTTCTGGCCCCTCTGCTCTTTAAGTGAAGCCTCTGAAGCGATGAGATGGAGTTCTCTTATATCATGACACATTTGCAATGTATATGTAGTTCGCCTTGATGTTTGCCTCTCCCCAACTATTGTTTTACTGCATAGCCTCTATTTTATTGCATGCTCCAGAAGTCCACAGTCTCTCTATTCTTTTACAAAATTGGTTACAAAAATTAAATTCTTCTTTACAGTCCAGGTGGTTTACATTGCTTTTAATTCCCTTTCCCAAATTTTAGTATATAATCATAAAACTTCTGCAGGAGGTCTACCCCATAGAACTGTATTTTCAAACACTGAGGTTTAGTTTGCTTTCAAATATTAAAGGCATTTATTTTATTTGACATTTATTTTATATTATTTTGCTATAATTTATTTTAATTCTAATAATCACCTGGTTTTATTTTCAGCACTGTATTTATTTCCTTTTGTTCCCATCACCCAAGCAGTTCTTTAACGGTTAGCTATAAATTTGCATCTGTTTGATCTTAGGTGTCTTTCTGCCTAAAGAATTAATGGTGCTTTTGATAATATATACTCCAAAGGTATATTGTTTTGAACAACTCTTTTGACCTACTTGTTTCCATAATGTTTGAGGTTTCTGTCAATGTGATTTCTCTTTATAATTTTTCTTCCCTTCTCTTTACCAGAGGCTGATTTTCTTCTAACAGCCTATTTCATTTCAGTTCAGTAAAACTCCCTTTATTTTTTAATTTTCTTAGGTTATAGAAGTCCCTAGATTCCAAAAACATTAATTTTACATTTTGTCAAATAGAAGGAAGTTCAGTAGATTCAAATAAAACCAGACTGAATAATCTTACCTATCTAATGTCCTTTTTCCTTCACTTTGAAAAATTCAGCAACTGTTGATGAAATTCTTGTTCCTGTGATAGGTTGAAAAGAAAATTAAAGTAAGTGTTATTTCATTAGTTCTGAAATATAAAACTCCTTGTCACTCTTCAGAAATACATATTCAAATCTCTATATAAGTAGCATGCAGACATTCCTGATCCATCTAGTAGGAATTTTTCTTTACAAAGACCCCAATCTTGCAATCCAATCTGAACAAAAGAGCCCTTTCAATTCCACTGAAATCCAGTGAATCCATTAGGCATTGGGCTTACAAAGGTATTTTGGCACTTGAAAATACAGATGGGTTCACAGTAGAATCTTCAAAAAAGTATAGGAAGTGAATTCTCACAGAAATAAATTCACTACAGTGTCTGTAGCACAACACATTATACTTTAAATTAAACAAGCCAACAAAATTGAAATGCAATTTTTTTACAAAAACACTCCAAGAATTGGGATTTTTGTCCTATGGCACAAGAAAAGGCTGTTTTGGGAAAGGCTCGGGCCACACGTTCTGAAGGACCACAGGATCTGGGGGGACATGAGTCATCTCCCTGCATTCTCCCTTCTCTGCCCTTCAGGCATTCAGTGATTTGCTGACCAGAAGCTCCTTGCTTCTGTTCCCTGACCATACCAAACACAGGTGCTCTCAAAGCAGTGAAAGGCCAAATTTCACATCTGCACAGCCAACATTTGCACCAGGGCTCCTCTGTCAAGAGAATGCAGGTTGTTTGCTCATGTCAGTTTTTTAAGAGGCTAATTTGTTGACAGAAAGAATAGCTGCAGAGTCAATACATCGCACATTTAATAATTACCCAGTATTACAAATATAACAAAAAGGCAGTGTTTGGATTCAGGTTATTACACTGAGGTAAACTTTGAAGATTTTCTTTTCAGGTGATACCACGGGCACAACTTCATTGGGCTTAGAGGGCAGCAACATTTTCAAATTACTTTTCACAAAACATGAGAGAAGTTTCACTACCTTCTAACTGATGTTGGATCCAACCCAAACTCAGAACTGATACCTGCAATGTCAAACCTGTGCCCCTAAGAATTAAAATGTATTTGGACGCTGGGTTATATATGGTACTATCTATCCTAACAAAAGAGGCTATGAGCGATTATGAAATGATAAACTATTAAAAAATGAATACTTACCAAGCACAAAAAGGTCTCTGTGAATACCACAGTTATTTTGTCTCTGAAAGAACAAATGTTCAGGAAACACTGCAAATAAAACTGAAAAGTATAGACACAGGCTAAGAACTCTGGAAGCTATGTAGAGGTACTCGCATAAAGCACTCTGTAATTTACACAGCAAGTTTAGAAGATTGCCGTATGAGCATTCCAGGATCTCACTGGAAATCTTCTTTCCTCTAAAATTAGCCCTAGAGTTAGCTCAAATGCCTTTAACAGCAGGAAAGCTGTCCTGCTGACGCAGGCATGCCAACACAGCGACACCATACACGCAGTTTAAAATGGAGCGAGCATGGCAGCTCTTTGCTAAACCATGGTCTGAGTTTGCAATTGTTGACATTTCAGAGGTGGCCACATTCAAAAGGGTCTGGTTTACAAGTTCTTGGTACCTACACTAAAATAAATGAAGAGAAAAGCAAGCATTTTATGGCATGACAGTATCATACTTCTACAATTATTTTGAACATTAATCATTTAGCATTATGAGTCAGAGAGGGAAAACTGCAGAAAATTGCAGGGGAAACTAATTATGAGCATTTGAGAATGTTTTTTTTTTCCTTCACCATACAATTCTATGCACATAAATTGTTACAATTAGATACTCATTCCCTACCTTGCACCACTGATGAACAACCCAAAACTGAAATGGTTAAGGTTATAAAGAATTGGAGATTCCATGTTCATATGGAGTTTTACTATCTCTTTATAACTGATTGAGAATGTTTTCTGAATTCTATTAAAAAAAAAAAAGTTCAAACTGCTTGACAAATATTTCATTGTCCTCATACAGCTCACTGCTGCCACTTGTTTGGAAAAATGAAAGGTAAGTTGAAAAATGCACCTTTTCCATTTTCATCTCTAATTGAATTCTCTCTTGACCCCCTTATTCCCCATGGCTGTATTTCAGGTTTTGATGATAAGAAAAAGAATTTTGTATTTGGATAATACAATTTTCTCACTTGCCTTCAGCGACCTTCAGCTCAATTTCCTCTCCCCAGAGACACTGTATATTATAGAATTGAATCAAATTCCTTATTCATAGAAAAAAAGTTCCAATTTAATCTGAATATTCAGCATTTTACACTGGTCAGGGTGATGGATGGCATATTGAAATGCTTTTGGTTCAGGTAATCAAATGGTAGAATTCAGACTTGTATTGAAAAAAATAATGAAGTCTATTCAATATTCTCATAAGGTGCAAAAAATGCACATTACACCGTAGAACTGGGGTTTTTTCTTATTACCTAACCAATAACATCTCCATTGCAAAAAGTATAGTAAAACATTAAGAATTTATGTAGGTTACAACACGTGAGAAGCAGCCACTGAGGGAAAAAGCAGGCATCTTCCTCAGAGCGCTCAAATGAACAAACACAAAACGGGGGAGAAACCAGATCTGTTTCCCATATGTACCCACAATTTCGATGCTGGCTTACCGAAGCCTTTTAATATGTTTTAAAATGCTTTTCAAGAAAGAAACATAGCCTCTTGAATCATTTCAAGTTGCCTGATACCTTGAATTATTGTAATGCTTCGTTTCAATTCCCAGAAGTTTTGTCAAGAAACAGCATTGGGTATCTCATTATTTCGAAAGGACTGGTAGCTCCATTTTGGAAAACTGTCCTGCTGGTTGTGAAGCACAGCCTCAGAGCAACAATGGGTTAGATCAACTTCAGCTTGGCACCACTCTCCTGATGTAGCATGCTTGGACACTTGGACATGGACAAGATGTCTCCAGGAAAACAAGAGGATAATGATGCTGCATGAATGTGGTTTTTAAAACTCCATCAATAGTTCATTTCTTCTAGAGATGCATGGAATTACCCCATCTCGTTTTTAAATAATTAAAGTTATTTATTTTCTATTTGTTTGGAGTACTTAAGCCACAAGGAATGATTAACCGTCGGCGCCACGAGCATTTAATTAAAATTGCAGCGGAGCAATTAATTGTTAAGGCACTGTGTTACAAACATAGCAGTGAGCTGCCCTTCCAGGCTGTACTACACCTGGTGCTGGAGGGGAAGCCAGCTCCGTGCTCATTCCCTCCCCTTACATGCGTGCAGCTGGCACACAGCCCTCGCACGGGAAGGGCAGAGATGAGCCTCCCCTTCAGGGAGACGTCCCCACAGCCCATAGATGTGAGGTGGACTTCACAAGCCAGGGGGAACACTGCTACTCAAGCTCCCTATGTGGAAATGCAGAGCTCTGCATGACGCTGGGCCTCCTCACTGGCCATTTTCTGTGCAAAACCCATAAGCTTACCTTAACAGCTCAGGCAATTTCACAGCCACGGGGTAAAGCCAAAGGAGTGAGGCCTGTGGAAAAAGCACGCACATAAGCACTCTCAGGAACGGCTTACGTGCTCCCACTGTCAGGGACAATGGACATGACAAAAACATTTTAAAGCAGAAGCTCTTGATGTTGAACTACCTCTTTCAAATTAAGAAAGATTGCCAGGAAACGGTGAATGCTCAGAGTGGTAACTTGTGATCCACCAGCAACGGAGTAATGGGAGAAGAACAGAACCTAAAGAGACACATGAATATATCAATTTCAGTCGAGTTCCACATTTAAAAAAAAAAAAAAAACAGGCTTAATTTTTCCAACTTAGCCCCACAAGGACAATTTAGAAACCAGGCATTACATGTCATCACTGTATTGGTGTAAGGGAGGCTCTGCAATGAAAGCCACTAACAGCTACACTGACAAACGAGAAAAATAGAGTCCAACTACTGTTCCCAGGGCGCTTACCTCTTCAGGACCAGCAGGAATAGAAGTCACCAAAATGCAAGATTTTATAAGTTAATATGAACCGATACCAAAGAGACACACAAAGGGAGAAAGTGCTGGGTGTTTTACATAACCAGAAACACAAAAATGAACTTAAGATACTTTGTCTTAAGATATGTTACTTAAGATACTGAACTTAAGATGTGTTTGTCATAGATCAGGATTTAAGCATGCAATTTTGAAGTAATTCAAGTATGTTTGCTCCCTGTCCAAATGGGATGGGAAATAAGCACACACTTCTGACTAACCTATAAAGCGCATTTCACAGTCCAGAACAGTAAGGATAACGTGCTGCATGTGCTTACTTCTGTTGACATTTATTTGGAACTTCTTGTTTGAAGTTCTCTGTGTGAATACAAAACGTGTGAGACACACGTAAGAGAAATTTGTACAACATAGTACAAAAGGAAATTAGGAAGGAAAACAAAAAAGAAAAAAAAAAAAAAAAGGTATTTTGTTGAAAAGCAGCATTCAGCTCTTGATCCTGCCATAAGAGTTCCTAGTGCCCTTCCCTGCGGAAGAGCGAGGTACACACGCAGCCGGGCCAGCAGGGCTGTGGGAGGAGGCGCTAGCAGTCAGGGAATGCCCGAGCTGAAATTAGTACAATCTGGTTTTATGTTACCATGGGGGCTATTCCCAAAGGCCTTTTTAGCCTGAGGACACGGGGACCTTTTCCAACCAAGGGATAACAACAGGCTCCTCTGGAGGGCAGGTCAGATCAGGAACCCAGCTCAAGCCCAGCTATGTCTGTGTCACCCGGATAAATTTAGCCCTGCGAATGCTCTCCATACATCCAAAGAATATTTAGCCTGAATTATTTTCCCTAGGACCATGTGGGTCATTATACAAACCTTGTCTTCTTCCTTCTCCTTTTCAAATTATTCTGGTGGTCTTCTAATGACTGAGATCTTTTCTGAGTTTACTGTATCTGTATCTTGGCAGTTGCTGTCCGCTGTCACATTTGCAACTGTTTTCAGCCAATAATATTAAAAGCTAGACATTAATTACAGGCCGTACTTCTCTAACCTCATCTCCTTGAAGGGAGACAAGGACCTACTTCCTTAACCTTGTCTCCAGGACAGAAGATTTAGTTGGGAACAGTACAGCCAGGCACAGCTGCAGCCTAATTGACAAGTGCTCCTTAAAAACCAGACCGCTTTCTGCCGACTACGCGGCATCACCAGTGACCGGGCGAGACGGGGCCCTGAGCAGGACTCGTGGGGCTCACGGCACGCAAGAGGCAGCACGCCCGGAGTGCCTTCTTCAGAGAGCAGGACAAGCAGCCTCGTAGCAGCGTGCAGAACACCCCAGCCCAGCACTCAAAGGGCTTTCGCTCTTCCCCTGTACCTAACTCCAGCAAATGCGGCCGGCAGCGGAGGCTCCCCTGTTGGCTGGCACAGCAGGCGGTAGCTGCGGATACGCCGCGTCCTGTTCACTGTGAATGCGAGCCAGCTTGGGTAGCAATTTAATAAAGCAGCTGAAGCTAATGCCATTTTTTGGCACCAGATAACAGAGTTTGTTGTAGGGTCACGCATATGCATATAAGGGGTCATGTAGCAGCAAATTTTCAGGAAATAGTAGACATGCACATTATTAGACTGAATTGCTGTCTGGCTCCAATACCTGAAATATGTAACCGACTCTTAACCCTACGTCGCAGTGCTCTGGTGCATTTAAATCACAAAAACGTGTAGTTTTTTGTCTCTTAAACTAAATTTCTACAGCAGGAAAAGAATATCAAGAATGTAGCACCAGATCCTGTGCAGAAACACTTGAAAAGCCATTCTGCTGGAATTAGTGACGCTGCTGGCACAACGTCTAGATGAATAAACACTTCTCAAAATCTGAGATGGCTTCTAAAGTCTCGATTGTAAAATAATTAATTTGGGGCTCCTATAATTTTTAATTAGATTTTTTGAGCCATTAATTTTATACTTCCAAGATTTTCTGTGCAACAAGTGCTCTTTTTAACATGCATATTTAATGGAAGATAATATTGTTTCATAATCATGAGACTCTGAAGCTGCAGCTTTATAAGAAAAATACTAAATCTTATTAAACTTGTGATAAAATTATTGGTGTTGGCAACCTTGCAGACCTATGCCTAGAGCTGCAGCGTTTTCCTCCCCTTAATACTGTAACTAAAAAGACTTTAATGAGAGCCAAAGAATGTGGCTCTGTCTACCCAAAATCTTTTGGAATTTTTACTTTTCCCTAATGGAAATGAAAACAAATCTTTTTTCTTTTTTTTTTTTTTTTTTTTTTTTTTCCCCCTATAAGCTTTTATGGACATCTGAGCTGACTTTTGTAACGAAGAAGGATTAAGCAAACTCAGGAAAATGATAAATGTGGTTTGTATTAGGGTACTAATTAGCTCATAAATTTAGGAATAGTTGATCTTTTAATTTTGCTGAATGAAAATAGTGGTCAAATCACAGATCAGATCTTGGGACTGGAGTAATGCAGTGGTGAATTAAATACCCCTGAGCGTAAGTGTCTGATCCCATAGCATTATGAGAACTGGAAGTTTTGCTACTGGCTTTGAAGTGCACAGAGTAAATCTAACCAAAGTTGTAAAATATTGTTCAAGCAGCCAGACACTTAACAGATAATAATAAAAAAGTGTGATTTATTAGGTGTCTGCTTCTCATTGTGCTGTAATCCAGCAATTAACTACGTTGATTATTTTTAGTACATGGAGCTAATTAGCACACTAGTAGCCAGCATAATCCTATGTTTTACTTCAGTTTTTCTTTATGTACAGATGTATGTGCACAGATATTCAAAGACTATCCCCTAGAAATACGCATTATTTCAGAAACCCTTCTGTATGCCAAGTGATAAAATGCACTAGCCAGTTGCATGACTTACATTTCTTTAGAACTGTTGGGGTAGAAAATGAGTAGAGGCATTATCTGTTTTATGCTGCTCCCCTGGTAATCTCACAAAGACTGCTCTGGTGATACGCAGGGAAATGCATATTCTACCCCAAAACAACTTTAATTCTCATTTTTTCAGACTGGGTCCTAGCCAGGTGGTGGAGATGCATGGGCCAGGCAGCCAGGCACGGTTCACAGCATGGTAGCAGAAAGTAGCTGGCAGACACTGCAGGCTGCTGCCCGCAATGGCTGAGAGCCTCCTCTTCCCTCTAATGGTTGCACCAGGACAAGGCTGGAAGAGAACTGGGCTCGGTAACACTCACCATGGAGAATGAATAGGCTCCCATTCTCACACCCCATAAACATCCTCATGCACACCTTGTTAAACACCACCCAAGAGACTGCATTTCAAGCAGTTTTCCATAAACTCCAGGTGACCTGGATACAATGCTAGATAAAACCATCGGATAAAATACAGCACTAGAAATACGTGAACCTGGGATTAGAAGATCAGGGGGACTTAATGAGGAACCAGCCTTCACATCTGGACTGCTGTAAACATCGCCCGAGCCAGGGGCCTTGTGGAAAAAACATCACACTGATAGTAATTCAGCAAAACGTTCAAGAAATGTTCACTGCTAGCCCCGCAGTGATATGCAGTAGAATTAATCTAAAGCCATGGTGGAAAACAACTGCTGAACCAATTTTCTACTTTGGCTTGTAATGCACCTGCTCTTACAGTGTCTGCATTTTATGCTCTCTTTCTTTTTTTCCTGCAGGAATGTAAATACTCCCACATGAAACCAACCACTCACATAAAGAGAAAGCCAGCAATCAGGCCTTAGTCTGACTACACAGTGTGCTAAAGTGGAAATAAAACGTGTTTGCAAACACAGAATGCTGAAATGCCTGGAGCCAGGACACAAACTGATAACCTACAAAGGAATTTGTAATTATACCTCCCATTTGCACAGAAGGAGCTGCAAATCTGCAAGCAATCAACCAGAACTGATACAACTGCAGTATTCCACCTCAAAGTGGTAGGAGGTCGACAAAATTCAAGCCTCAGGTCTCACTCTCATGTTCTTCTCAGAGCATAGCTGGCTGCAAAACATGTGCACCAAGTCAGCATTGCTGACATTTTTTCTCTGCATATGATGCTACTTCTGGAGGCCATATGATCTGTAGTTCACCATCCTAGCTCTATTTTCGGTAAGCAGCTGCAAGAAAGGATGAAGTGGCATGGTTAGCTGGTATGGGTGGGTAGTTTAAGGGATTCCCAGTTATTAACATTTTCTTAGCCTTCAGTTTAAACGAGGCTGCATAAAGCACCCAACGTCCTCTCCATTCCAGCCCCCCTCCCCAAAATAGTACCAGGACTAACAATTTTTCTTTGAGTGACAGAATGCTAGATTTTATCTTGCAGTAAGTGGAACACAGCTTTTACTCTCCCCTCAAGTCTCTCTGACAGCATACCGTAAGCAGGTTTATGAGGAACATCACCTTGGCAGCGCATCCTCAATGAGCACTTCTGGACAAAATTTTCAATTATAGCAACTTAAAAAAAAAGTGACCAGCTTGTCAGAAATATTCAGCACACTTACTTCCAACTACGTTAACACATTAGGGAATCAGGACACAGTTATTTTCGTTCTTATATATAGGTTAGAACCTAACTTCAGATGCCTAAATTTGAAAATTGTGAAATGTGTCAGCAAAAGCGCTGTCAGAAGTCTGAGCGAAATTAAATATTCTTCTTAAAGCAACATCCTAAGGAAATACTGCAGTTCTCCTCCCCATATAACACGCATTTGCAAAGCTCTAGAATAAGGACTCAGAAAGATCCTGCCGGGTGAACCTTGCTTTGATCTAGAGCATGAATTTCACCTCAACCTTACATGCCCTGTGGAACAGTGACAACTCTACTTTCGACATTGCATAAGGCGACATCTAGCACAGCCCTGTGCAGCCAGTTATGCTTGCTACTGCACATGCATTTACCTGACCTAACTTTAGATGTCAAAAATGCAGTTGTGGATACCTCAGACAACAATCTGTATCTTTATTTAGTAGGTAAAAACGAGCACTTTTAAGCCACAATTCGTCTGACTTATGTTAGATGTCTATCTCGGGACAAAGCTAATCAGGCCTTAGAAATGTCTCTTCACTCCCACCAAGCATAAAGGGAGTGCAGACAACTCTTTCTTAGCCAGATTTCTAAGTTGTACTTACCCAAGGGTATGAGGGAAAAAGCCCAGTCCCTCTTGTACATGAAATGCTGACAGAGAGCAGGAATATTCCCAGTGAACACCACTGCCTGGTGTCACCGCATGAGTGACAAAGCAGGGCAAAGGACTTTTACATTTAGCCATGCCTGTACATTAGCAGTACTGCTGGGATCACTTTGAGCATCAACACTGGTAAAACAAGGTCAGAAACAAGCTGTGTGCAACAGAGCCAACAAGAACTGGAAGCTAACGTGGTTCCTCAGTTTCTGCACCTCTAAGCACCTCCAAAAACTACAGGGAGGTGCTGCACTACATGGACACACCAGTTTGGGTGTACTAGCCCCGCTGCCCGGCACAGCTTCACACAAGGACCCCCTTATTAATAACTGGTGTGAGTTACACCGGTACAGCACTCTCCTGCACCTCTTATGAACAGATTCCTGCCTTACCTAATGAGTAGTCTGCATCTTTAACAACACTGGCCGTGACCCCGTCACTTCAGCTTTCAGGTGTCAGTAGGATATTGCATGCTCGGTGCTTTTATAGATCATAATTATTCAACCAGACTTTTTGAAGGAGCTCATCCTTGAAACAGAGACATTGTAACACAATAGAAAAGATTTCTGTTTTCCTTACATTGAAACCAACATAGAAAAGGCACAGCCTCTCTACTTACCATGCCAGCAAAAACAGGGAAATCATGGTCAGAAATAAGTTTCAAGTTTCAGTCCTTGGTGGAAGAACAAAGAGGTTAATTTTAGGTATTCTGCCACTTTGGGCCAACTTTTGGGGCTCATATAACTCTCCAAACACACATCCCTAATGGCAGATATGCTGTTGAAGAGACCTGATCCATCCAGAGGCATGTTCAAAATATCCCTGTCAATTGCAAGTATTTTTATGACTTGGTGATGGTGCCCAAAGCACTTTAGTTTAACAGAAGACATGTGGAATTGATTCCTCTCTCATACCAATGTTAATCATGACAAATTCTAATAAAGTCAGAATTAAATTGCTTTGAATATACACTAGCATGCACGGGAGAATACTGTGACTGTGTGTATTTCTCAGATATTTTTTCATTTCTTTTTTCTTATTTCTCCTTTTCCTCTGGGAGATCTCATTGCCAGTTTCAACAAAGGGCATCATCTCTATGCAGATGATATCCAACTCTACAACTCTGTCAACTCACTCTCTGATCCCCTTCTTGCCACCTGTCTTCAGCATGTCAATCAGCAGATGGCTACACCATCACTAAGGAATGCTTCAAAGGCATTCAAAATGTTTTAAAAGTCCTCTTTGTTCCATGTCTGTGGCTCTGCTATCAGTCTTCTTAATTCAGCCCTTCAGTTCTAGGCCAAATATCTTACCGTGATCCACAACAGAGCTCTCATTTTCCCTTCCCCTGCTTTAAAGCTACTTCCACAGTATTTACAGATTTATCCACACTTTGACACCTGCTTCCTCTGCTTTATATTGAATGCTTTACACAAGTTTAGAATAATGCCATTTTATCCTTTTTTTTTTTTTTTTTTTTTTTGTCCCAAACAGTCTTTCTAAACTTCTCCAACCAGGTGAAGGAAAACAAAGCACTACTTTGTTTCAAAAAGTGGAGATTCCCTCAAAAAATTCCAACACCTCACAGGTTTTCTTGAATGCAGAATTTCATTTTAAGGCTTGTGTAAATGCTTTTTGGCATCTACAACAGTAAGTCAAAGCCATTCAAAATGCTTACAACGGCAGCACTGTTTTTGCCAAATGCTAACATTCTCAGTATTATCAGAATATAATTGTTTTGATCTCTATCAGATCTCTCTCATGGCATCTAATC